GTCGGCTTCCAGGGTCAAAAATTCAAGCAGATCAAGGCAAAATGTTTGGCAGAAGGAAGGTTGTTTGAGGATCCAGCATTTCCTGCTGTAAAGGAGTCTATATTCTACAGTTATAATGATCCTAGGGAGATAGTCTGGAAGAGACCTCATGTAAGTAGAATGGGGAATATTCCATTGTCACCATACAATCTTACCAAACCTTTGCATCTGCGTTATGCACCATTCAAAGGTTTGTGTTAGACCCCCCCCCCCATTATTGGCAGTTTGCCAGATTAGGTCTCATAGGCAGAAGTACAAAAAATCTAAAACCAGTGCCAAGATTTGATAAGGTTTTATGCATACAAATTATTAGTAGGTATATTTAGTAGGTAATTTATTTCTTATAGGTCATTTTTAATTTTAAGAGTAATATGTAGCACTGCATGTCTTATTTACCTCACATGGCAATTGATAACCTTATTGAATCACCTAATTGAATCTTATCCATTTGTTCATCCCTCCTCTATATGTCTATCGACAGTTTTTGGACGAATGAAAAATGCCATTTGTGGAAACTAAAGACAAACATTTATTTAGTGCTAGATCAACAGTTATTTTACTTCGTGGTCTAATTTTGAGGTTTTTACAGGTCTTCTCAAAGTTTGGGGTTCAAGACACAATATCAAGGTTAAACCACAATAATGTATTTTTGTAGATAAATGTCAAATTAACATCAGAGCTACTTCAGAGCTTACACTACAACACTTCATTTACAGGAAATAAAATGTATCAAAAGTGAAACTAGTCTAAAAAGTCAAGTTTTTTCATATACATACATAGTATGTTACACCAAGCTTCTACTCAAGATTTGAGATTGAACACTCTGACCCAGGCCCTTACAATAACCCAAAGGGAAAATCAATATTACAATTGTATAATAATTGTCTGCAATTGAATTCTCTCTAGCAAACCTAACTATAGCTAGCTTATCAGAATTGTAGGTGTAATTGTTCAATGCAATATTTCATAATGATCCATAATGGTTCCTCATAGATTGAAGTGTCATGGTTTTACATTCATTAACTTGGTCTACTTGGAGTAGGCCAAATTCATGCATTTTTCTATAAATGAGTGATGAGATGTTGATTATGGAAATGATGTATTAAATTGTAGAATAATGGAAGACAGAATTCATTTTCTCTCAATGACCTTGACATTAATTTTCAAGGCCAAAGTCAACTAAAGTCAGTATATTTCAAACCATATGGTACTGAATGTACCTCAAGGTGATTTCAGAGTGGATTGTGAGTATAAGGTAAATGCTTCTGAAACACTTTCCATATCTGTTCTATCTAGTTACAGTGCTCATATATGTTTATGTAAATGAGAACAATGATTGATAGCCAACCCTCACCCCTAGAGAGAGTGTTGCTTCATTTTTGGCCTTGAACTTTAACTAACTACAGTAAGAAGTGGTTCCTTGTCTTTCCTTAACAAATTGATATGTTGCCCTTCGCAATTGTTGATTTCAGTCAGACAAACCTTATCATTGGTTAGCATTAGGGTAATATATCTTTGAAAATACATATATAGGTATATGATCTTTATGTCATTTCAATTTGTAAAAATAAAAAAAAAACTTTGCCAGGGCAACTTCAATGAGTGTTAATGTAAGAAAGAATTCCAAATCCTTGGGAATACCATGTGTGAGTGATGAAATTTATTTTAAAAAAGTTATTTGCTGAATTGCATCAGTAAGTTACAGTTGATTGCCACAGATCACTTTGGGTGAGAAACAATGTAAGGTAACCATATAAAACTGTCTAGCTTATTGCATGACATCTCAAAATTTTATATGTAGACCCCTAGGGGATATAATAGTGTAAACTGTAAACCCTAGGCTAAATAAAATGATTTAAAAAAAGGGTAACTTTATCATCAACTGAAAGATCAATCCTTTTCTTGATATTTTTCTGCTCATTCCTCCATGTTCTTTGATATTTATTAATCTCGAACGGTTAGTTTAAGTACTGACACCTAGATATAGCTGATTATGGTATATGTATTTTTATGGTGGTTGGCATCTGTAACAAATGGCAGGTAGTGACATTTTGAATGTTATTGCCTTGTAAAACGTTGACTTTACATGTTTAGTAGGAGCATATATTTTCATCCATGCTGGGGCCTTCTGTTTCCTTAGCCTCTACCAACCACCAGTACTCTTCTGCAGATTCTCAAATGTTTGATGAATAGGTTAGACATTTCACCCAGTTGTTCTCTGATTTTTATGATTTTTTATGTTCTCATCCAATCAGTCTAAATAATAGGTTGAAATGCGTTCTATGTCTGAAATGTCAGGATACACTACTCATGGGTATAATTCCTCAGATTGTGGAATATCAATTGGTTATTAATTCAAATAATACAAAAAAAGAACAGACTAATTACAATCATTTTATTTCTTCTTAGCCTAGCTACAAGCCCTTGTGTGCTCATGGGCTTGTAGCTAGACTGATCTTTTCATTCTGAAGCAAAATACTGCATTACTGATGCACATACTTGGGTCAGGTTTAGTGTCATATAAGGATACATATAGCAATAGGACTGTATGCCATCATGAACTTTGTTATCCATAAAGCTCAAAGACATGACCTTGGACCAGATAAGAAATTCTGTTTCTTTGGGGTTAGGACCTATGCCTGGTTGTAATAGGTAATACCAGGCATGAAACCATGTTTTATACATAACAGTGACTTCCTAAAATATAGATACAGTAAAACCTGTGTAAAGTGAACAGGACCAGCTATAAGAAATCATGTTGAGAGGTGATCACACTATGGTTCTCATACATACATATTATAACAATGTGACGCGGAGCGTATATTGCGTTTTTTATAAAAGATAAAGGTTATATAAGAGTAAAATAATTGATTGCTGAAGTGTTGGAACATAAGAAGTAAAAGTGAAAGGACTGCAGAGTAATCATAGAAAATAACTAACTATATCTAATAATTTGAAATGATGTGTTTTTTGAGAGCTGCCTTAAATGAATTAATATTGACACATTCCTTAATTTTATTTGGTAATTTGTTGTAGTATGATGGACCAATAAATTTTAGAGAATCCCAGCCAACCTTAACACGGTACTAGGGCTGGACTAAAAGATATTTTGATCTTGTGTCATGGCTATGTTCAGCAATTTTGAAATAATCTTTGAAAATATATAAAGGAAAACCAGATGGTTTATTTAAACATAAAAATATAAACATGGCAATGTTTGAATAATATACATCAAAAATGGTCAATAAGTGCTCCCTTTTGAATAATGGAGCAGTATGCTCTCTAAAGTGGGAATTGGTGATTATTCTGATGCATTTCTTTTGAATTAAATGTATTGGGGCATAGCCCCAAATGATGTTACAGTAGTTAATATGAGAGAGAATCAGTGAATGATGAATTTTAACTTTAGAATCATGATTGAAAATATCTTTTACTCTGTAAAGAATACCTAATTCCTAAATATGTTCACATTTTGAAGTGTTTAGTTGAGAGATGAGTCCATATGTGTAGGTTATAACTTAATATAGTGTTTAGCACTCTGTACTATATGTGGAAGTAGTATGTATGAAGGTAGAAGAACATTGATAGTGGCCAATACTCAAGCAGAATTATTTCTGCAAGAGTTTTATCTCCAGAACAGATTTTACCTAAGCATTATTTCCTGCATATATGCAGTGCTATAGTACACTGTTCAATTATCTCATCATCAAAGATTTACCTCTAAAACACATGCCCAAGAAAACATGACTTACATGTTTATTTAACATATGCAACAGTACTGAATGCAACACTGATTCATTTTAGGCATATAATTCCTCCAACTGTATTTGATAAAGCAACAACTACTTCTACAGTTATTCATGATACTGTTATTGCTTATCTTGACCATTAACAGGCTTGCTGAGCCTCATCAACTTCAAGGCTTTATTAGTAATCTTACATCCACTGGGTTTGCTTTATGTCATATTTATATTGGTAGAGTACTCTGAATCTCCATCTGCTGACCCAATTCCCTCTGAGATTACTGATGATTTTTGTTGCTGTTACTTGACAAGAACTTACAGTTTCAAATGAGGCCCTTGGTCCAATATTTCACTATATTGCCCTTTGAAATGACGTTATTGTACTATTCATGCCCTGTAGGTACTTCAAAGCAGAAAATGTAGTATTATGATTTTTATGTCACCACCAGAAGTGGTGACATATTGCTACAGTCTCCTACTTTATGTGGACAGTGTTTGGTGGTGGTGTTTTGCACTTGGCATTTGGCTGTCTGTGTCTGCAACAAATGGCAGGTGGTGACATTCTGCATGAGATCGGAAAATAGATTTTTTTAATGAGAGTAATTTGAGAGCAAATGATGTGGCACTTATTCAAAGGTTGTTGATGGAATTATTTGTTTCTGGCATTTGGCAGGGCATGGTGTATTTATAAATGCAGAACTGTTAGATATGTTGTCTTACAGAACCTATTTCCTGAGTCTTGTTAACTTATCAAGGGCAAACAGAAATCTGAGGTCATATATCTCGTAGAATAGATAGATATAGTATACAGTAGTACTAAAAACCTTTCTGTTACAATATCATATATCTTTATTTTCTTATTGATACACCTCCTACAATGTTTAGCAATGTTATATCCTACAATGAATAGGCTTCTTAAAAGTACAAAAATAAGGATATGTTTAATGATCTTTTCTTGGAACTCTTAAAATTAGGTCTCTAGAGATATAGTGGTAAAATGTAACAAGCTAAAAACATGGTAACCTTTCCATAATGAATCTTGGAGGGATATAGAAAATGCATCCACCAATCCCTCCATCTGAATTTATATTCATCCCCATGTTAGTGTACCATATAGTAGCTTTCCTATGTGTTAAATATAAAAGACAACTACTAATGTATATATACAATGTTCTTTTATTGTACATATAAACATGTTGTATTCTTTGTGTGTTTCAGGAGCTATGCGAGGACCCAAAGCTATTTGTGGGTGGGGCCAGTCGTATGGACATCAAACAGGGAGAGTTAGGTAGGATTCCTGGATGTAAATGCATGAGTGGTATTGCATCAAATCTCTGGGAACCTCCCCCTTATCTATTTCCTCATTTGGCCTGTTTAATAGAAAGAATGGGGAGAACAGGGGCCTGATGCAATACTAGCTTATTTGTCAACCACTACTAAGGGACCCAACAAAGGTGTTTATATTAACAGAAGTTCACATAAAGACGTTCTGGAGGCATAGGGACATTTGACCTTTATATTGAAGGTGTTCACTTTAAGAGGTGTTTACATGTATTTGTTTTTGGCTCACACAACAAGGTTATAAATTACCTACTCATACTTTAGCTATTATGAACTTGTTGTTAGTCTGTAGGTTACCCACCTGGATATGAATATGAATGATTTACAGACTTCTATTAGTCTACTTAGTCTAGCATTAGCTTGTCATATAGCAGGCACTTTATGTTTTCTGCTTGTCAGTGTCAAACCTGTATTAATAATGCAGAAATCAATACCACTTCAATGTCCCTTGCAACTGGCAGCAGACTTGACATCATTTCTCAGACTTACCTATTTGATTTGATTTGAACAAACTTCTCATAAAATGGAGAAAAATATTTTGCACGGAGATTAAGCTAAACATTTTTAAAAGAGCTTGTACATGAATGTGTAAAATTGTGGTCCTTCCTGAGTTTTGTTCTCCCCTAGTGGTATTTACATTTCCAACTGAGTATAAAGCTGTAAGGAGAATAGTTATAATTAGGTCCCTGGAAAAACCGATTGAGAGGGGGCAGTAATCTCTGAGGGTCATAATATTAGAAATATGTAGCTTAACCTCCCTATTACTACAACAATGAAACTCGTTCTGTTTGATGATGTTCTGTATTGTAATTTGCTGGTTTACAATTGCAGGAGATTGTTGGTTGCTAGCTGCCATTGCCTCACTGACTCTAAATGAGAAACTCCTCTACCGTGTTGTACCTAAAGGCCAAAGCTTCACAGAAGATTATGCAGGCATCTTCCACTTCCAAGTAAGGCTTTTATAAATTGATCCACCCCCCATCCAAATTTAGTAAGTGATCCACATAATAAAGTGCACTGTATTTACTGAACTGTTATTATAGAAAATCTCATTTTGGTACAATATGTGATTTGATTTGATGAGATATGCTCAAATATTGACATTAGTCAATGTTATTACCATACAGAGAAATGAATCAATAAACGGCAGAATGTTACTTTTGTCCAGACAGATCTATGATAGACATTGGGGAGTGGGGGGGGGGGTAACTTACACATGTGAATGTTGTTTATTCAAGTACAGCTTTTACATTTGCCATACCATAACCTCCTTATCAGCATAAAGTAGGATTTTACAACCAACAGCTGTTTTCTTGTTATTTTTATCCAGGAAAATTTGGATGTCGGAAACTTGCAAGCTTGAGATGCTGTTATTATACAGTTAATTGAAATCCAATATGTAGTAAATCATAAATTGCAGTGTTGGTTTTTATGTTTTATTGAACTAGCTATTTTGTCTATCACCAAGGGAAATTATTGTAATGTAATTGACAAATGGAACAAAGCAGCACTTTTCTCTTAGAAGTAATTTTAGTCACCATTGCTTTATATATTTATTATTAATTAGGATGTTGTTTTATGCAACCTAGATGGTTAATAAGTACCCTTTGCATTTGTTTGACTTCACTTCTTAAAAGAGAGCTTCGTCTTCACTCTTTTAAACTAAATAAACCTGTGAACTCACCGGCCAATCAGTGTTCGTCGGCCAAATTTGACCGACGTTCTATATATAGTCATTCCTTCTGACGTCATTGTTGAGCCCGGAATTGACCAATGACATGCGCATATTTAATTAGCACGCATATTTAATTAGCACGCATGTATCTTCAAGCTCGCTGATTGGTGGAAGAAAGGTCAGCGCCTAGGTCAGAAGTGATTTATTACCCAAACTGTCACCGGTACCTGTCGTGGGGGCGGGGCTACTAAACTGTAATATGGTCTCTACTAGGCAGAGTGTAGTTTAACTAGACTCTGCGCGCAGGGTAGTTAATAAGTATCTCATCAAAAAATATGTGTTGCCTTAATCAGTCGGTTCAGATTAGTATTTCCTGTATAAACCAAAAAGCCCACTTTATGTATTGCTCCATCAGCATTTGGTCTTAATTCAATGAAGTAGGTCCACCTGATCCTTTAATTAGCTAATTAAATTGATCTGTATTTGAAATATAGATATACAACCAACAAGGAATGTAACTGATGATTGCATTCTGTTTCTTTTCATTGGATTTGCTATACCCTTATTCTAATTCAATTTATCTTGTATTGATGGTTTGTGTTTACTGGTCATTTTGTCATGTTAATGCCTTGCCTTCTTGTGTTCTATTTCCAGTTTTGGCAATATGGTCGTTGGGTCAATGTGATTGTGGATGATCGTCTCCCTACATACTATGATCGCCTCGTGTTCATGCATTCTTAAGAGAAGAATGAGTACTGGTCATTTTGTCATGTTAATGCCTTGCCTTCTTGTGTTCTATTTCCAGTTTTGGCAATATGGTCGTTGGGTCGATGTGATTGTTGATGATCGTCTCCCTACATACTATGATCGTCTGGTGTTCATGCATTCTGAAGAGAAGAATGAGTATTGGTCAGCTCTGCTGGAGAAAGCTTATGCTAAGTATGATATTGACCATATATTGCCAGTGAATGATTGATCGAGACATAGAGAGAATATTAATGAATTACAAAGAAACATTATTAAACCAATTATGATATCAAACAAATCTGCATATGTAAATGTCTTTATGATTACTGGATATTGTTCTTTTTAGTATTATTGAATGACATAGAAAATGCAAATGACCATTTTCATTAATTTTCTCATTCAGATTGACAGGTTCCTATGAGGCACTGAAAGGTGGCAGCACCAGTGAGGCTATGGTTGACTTCACAGGAGGTGTCGTTGAAATGTATGACTTCCGTAAAGAAGTACCAGCTAACATGTTCACAATACTCACCAAAGCTATGGAGAGAGGCTCCCTAATGGGCTGCTCTATTGAGGTATGCTGCATATAACCACTTTGTTATTTGAAAAATTATTCAACAGTGTTATTTACAATAAGCTCATGTTCAATGTACAGTTAAGGCAGCATTGTAAATTTTCAATATTTATTTATTTATCAAAAAATATTATCAATGCTGTACATGCAACACGTCATAATCTAAGATACCGCAATTATTATGATTATTAAGATTTTCCCTGTCTACTTATTTATGTGTGTACATATATCTAGTTAGGATGGTAATTTGATTGATTACAATTTTTTCTAGGCAAAACCAGGACAGCTTGAGGCTGAACTACCCAATGGTCTGATTATGGGCCATGCTTACAGTCTTACTGATGCAAGAGCGGTAAGTTACCAATGGTGATACTTTTACTGTTCAAGTCATTTATACTTGCTAAAATTATCTTGAATTGCTTGAAGTTCACTTGTTGAAAATATCCTTGCCCCAAGAATCTTGTGTCTTAGAATTACTGAAGAAATTAAATAAGAAGTTATGACTGTATTTTGTTGGGTTTATTCAGTAGAGCCTCTGTTTAAATGCCCCTAGTAGTATTGATTATGGATTATTGTAGGTACATATTAAAACCAAGAGATCAAGTGGTGAAATGGAACTGGTTAGAGCCAGGAATCCTTGGGGTAATGAATGTGAATGGAAAGGAGCCTGGAGTGATCAGTAGGTTACCATGCAGATTGTTCCATTGCTATGGAAATTGATTGGTTGCTATGGTAATGACACATGGTCACCATGGTGTTATATTACCAATGTTAATTCCTGAGAGGCTTTTTGTTAAGCTTTACTGATGCATGGTGTTTCTTCCTTTTCAGACTGCTGAATTGATGTGTTAAACTTTGATTGAGGAGTTTTTATCTCAAAATACGCCTTCCAATTGTTTAAAATGTTTTTACCAAATGGTTCTGAATATTAACATGTTGGATTGGCATTTCATCATTCCATTTCAGACTGACAGATTTCTTCATACATGTCATACATCATCACCTTGCTTCATTCAGCTGATTGAGTCCTCACACTTGTGTATTGTATATTGTTGTGCTGATGCGCTTTAACATGCAGTTAATGCATGACTATGATGTTCAAGATTTGTAATTCTCTCTTGCTTCAATACATGCTAACAGGTTAAGATCAAGACTCGCAGGTCTGAAGGTCAGATGCAGTTGGTGAGGTGCCGTAATCCATGGGGTAATGAGAATGAATGGAAGGGTGCCTGGAGCGATAAGTAGGTTGCTATGATAACCTTGTGTAACCATGTGTGTTACTAAGGAAACCGAATGCAGTGCACCTTGATTTAGTTTCTTCTTATTTTAAAAAAGGATAATAACAAACAACTTATTTTTCATCTATTATTTTTCCTTTGTACCTATCTGCAGCAGGATTGTATGCAATTATCATAGGATTGAGATCTCAATTCTATGTGTCATTTAATGTTTTCCACTAAATTCTACATGATTGACTTTGCTTAAGATCTTTAAGAAAAGGCTGAACCTCTAAATAAAATGTGTGTAAATCTTGCAATAACAATTCACACTTATAAAAAGTGTGTTTTCTTAACAAGGGTGGGTGGTTGGACAGAAGAGATGGACTGATGTAAGGGCATGTAGAATTTGGCGCAAAACTTTTGGGATGACAAAACTAATTGCAAAATGATGTGCTTAAAATCAAAAGCATGTATGCAGTGAAATACAAACAACAGTGTGATGTGAACTGTGAACAAAATAATATTTGTGCATTAGAATTTAATTTCAGGATGTGCATGACATGTGTGCTGAACTCATTGAAGTGATGATAACATTTTATGTATAACATGCTCAACTTTCAAGACTCCTTACCCCTTCTGTCTTACTCGGGTTGAGTTGGAGCAGAGGGTGTACAGGGTGTGGAGAGTTAATAACCAAAGACTTGGATTGTGTATAACAATTTTTTGTCTTAAAGAATGAACTAAGAACAGAGAATTTTGAATAATCCATAGTGTGTACCCATTTTAATTTTGTACTTGATAACCAGCATATGGCATGGAATTCTAGGTTAATATTCAAACCTCCAGGACAAGTGGGGTCATACCAATGGTGCGTGTCCGTAACCCATGGGGCAATGAGTGTGAATGGAAGGGGGCCTGGAGTGATAAGTAAGACAACAGGAGCTTCTTTAGTGTTGTCATAGAGATTTGATTTGTAGACAAGGGATGATGAAAGTCAGTCCCATGATGCATCAGCATTATGTTGATTTCATTGTGATGCATCATTTGATTGGCTGTCACCTTAGATGTTGTGCATGGTGATAGATCTCAGAAGTCATTTGTGAATTATACGAATGTCTTCATCACTTTTCCTTTAAAGACATTTTTAGTATATATCACAAATGATCAAATATTTTTGACATTAGATACAGTGTAATGTTACATTGCAAAATCAGGATTAATAGCATGTGCCTGTTATGAATACATGAATACAAAAAGCTATTTTGTTCAGTGGTAAGAGTTGTAAGATGCTATTTGATTGCTTCATTTGTTGATAACATTAATTTCCAGACTTTAGATCATTAATTGTTATGGAATCTCTACTGGGCCTCTAGGGAGACCAGTTTTGGACTAGTAGAGCTACCCAGAATAAATATAGTTTTCAAATCAAATCTTTTTAATGGGACGGGGTAGAATGAAAAGGATATACATGTACATGCATTTGTGTTTTGTTGTGATCACTGAGATTTCAATGTGACATGCCACACAGTTCACAAAATGAGTTGTAGATTATATTTATTTCATACTTCGTAGATTTCTTGTAGATGTACAATCATATCATATTGTAATATTTCTTTGTATTTTGATGTGTATGTTTTTGCTATTTTGACTATTAGATGATTTGGTTGCCTAACATGTATGACTTAATATGTTGTATTAACACAATATTATCATTTAGATGAAGACTGGTTATGTTGATTTGCATAGCATGGCTCACATATGGCACTAGGAGTACTGGATTTTGTTGCCCCAATATACAAATGTATTTCAATTGTAGATACAAGTTAATATTCTATTTGGCTTGGTCATAATCAGAAAAGTTTAAATTATATTGAGGCCTTATCTGCCTCAAGTCTGACTGTGACCCTGCTTAGACCCTGGTGACACCATCAGACCCTGGTGACACCATCAGACCCTGGTGACACCATCAGACCCTAGTATGTAGCACCCTGTAATTAATATGTCACTTTACTTATGTTTGTTATTGCTAATTTTGGTATTACTAGAGAAAATCTACTTGTTCATTCTGGAATAAAGTTTGCACTCATTTATATAGGAAGAACTGTCTAAAGTGAATAAACATTATTACTTTATTTCCCATTTGTGTATTTGAATATCGTTTGTCAGTCTGTGTGTTTACACTTTAGACAGGTTAAGCTATTTAGAAACACGACTCATAAGGATGTCATTCAGATTTGAGAAACAAACATTGTGTTCAAATTTGAGCATGGTGACATTTTAATGAATAGCTGCATGTATCACCATTGTTGAGTTTCTTAACAGCCTTGTTTTGTGCCTAATAGCCAACCTGTTTGTCTTATGTAGTGCAATATTAGAACCCCCCGATCCGAGGGTAAGATCCAGTTGATCAGAGCCCGCAACCCCTGGGGCAATGAATGTGAGTGGAAGGGGGCGTGGAGTGACAGGTACACCCTGGTAATGTATTATAGAGTGATGATTCAACATCACATTGTGTTAAGTTTAGTATGAGGAGCTGGTGGCTTTGGTGGTATATGGGTATGTAATACGAAGCCTATTGTCTGGATGCTAATATTCCAATAATATTGACTAATATGCTAAACTGCTAAACTTACTAAAAAAGATTATTTAACTAATAAAAGAACCTGGTTATTCCATTAACTTCCTATAAGATACTTGTGATATCTTAGAATAATAAGTATCTAAAACTGGTGGAGTAAATGTATATTAACTGCTTTGGTGAAAGTAGCATTTATTTGATGTCTTTCTAAAATTAAAGATTAAATAAAGTAAATTTTCAACATCTTTTAAAATATAATTAATTGATTTGATATTTTGTTAAATTAATTAACATTGTATGCATTCCATAAATAATATATGAAGGAAAACACAAAAATCTTAACAATCAAAGAAGTCATGCATTTTTACAACATCATGGACTTTTTACAATAATATTCTTTGTTTATAATAATAAAGCTAATTTAGCATAAAGTATTGATTTGTTATATATTCATTAGTATATGTGTTTTGAATGATACACTTAGGTAGATACGCATTTGCAGAGTAAATTTTTAGATTTAAAAAACATGAGATGCTATAAACCCTAGCTCTGGGGGTGGATAACCCCTCCTTGGTAAGATATACATCAGTTAAATTGCTATATTGAGTATTTTGTGAAGAACTCTTATAACATGATTTGAATGTTCTTGCAGGTCTCCTGAGTGGAACTACATCCCAGAGGATGAGAGACAAGAGATGGGACTCACCTTTGACTCAGATGGAGAATTCTGGTAGGAGAATCTGACATATGATCATAAAATATAACCACAATAATTGAAGTCTCCAATGCCTTTTGACATTTTTGAAATACCTGAGCACAGTGTGCATTATACAGATTTCATTATACCTACCTGTCTTAAACTGAAATATGAACTATTTTTTGAAAAATCATCATCAGATTGAAACTAGCTGGCCACTGGTTTAGTGCTAATGTCTCATGTCACCTTGTATGTAAATGTACACATTTTTGATTCCAGGATGTCATTCCAGGACTTCACCCACAACTTCCAGAAGATTGAGATATGTAACCTGGGGCCTGATGCCCTCACAGAGGAGGAATCTGGTGGCAAGAAGAAATGGGAAGCAACCAGTCAAGATGGATCTTGGCGTAAACGAGTGAATGCTGGAGGTTGCAGAAACTTCCTTGGTAATTCATGCATTTTATGGTATTTTGAGGAGAGATTAAAAAGTAGTTGTTTTATGAGAACTAATTTAAACTAGGCTGAGCTAACATTTGCGAATTAAACTGCCGGCTGTCAGCTGATGACTTGACAGTGATTTGATTGCCATTTTGTGGCACTCATTTAAATATGAATAATACCTGCAGCTATTCATATTCATATGTAAATAAGTTGGCCATGGAATGGCAGTCAGCTGACAGAATCAAATTTCTTCGTGAATGTTAGCCATGACTCACCTGAATCTGTTCTTTATTTCAACTTCTACATTTTGTGACCTACATGTATGTGCTTTGACATTCTTTAGATACGTTTTGGACCAACCCCCAGTATCGTGTACATGTAACAGACCCGGATGATGATGACGATGAAGACCTGGGCACAATTTTAGTTGCATTACTCCAGAAAGAACGTAGAAAGAAACGTAAAGAAGGATTGGATCTTTTAACCATGGGATACTCCATCTATAGGGTAAATAATACATGTTGTTTTGTCATCTATTGCTACATTGTGCAAGAGCTTTCTTAAAATAGAGACAATTCTTTGACCTAGCTTAAACAGATATTCATCAATACACAACATTTTCTGCCTATGTTATGGTTCCAGTTCCTACTCTTTCCTTCATTATAACAAAAACTAGTTATGAGTCAGTATTTGGTGTCAGATGGTTTCAAATTTTCAGTTAAGTATGGTTCAGTTTTTAAATCCCTTGGTTCTGTTTTCAGTTGGGTCATTCGGTTCTTATCGCACTTTTATATTCTGCTATGCGCATAAGAATGTAAAACAGAACTAGCCTGCATGATTGCCATGTATTTGATCTTACTGGCTATGTCTTGATATTTCACAAATGTAATTCTAAACATTTAACTGTTAAAATAATATGTGTCGGCTGAATCTGATGTTTTGATGCTTATAACTGTCTTACCCATCAGCGTCTTTCTCAGCATCCACAGCAGACATTTTCTTTTACTACGTTATTTAAGCAAACGTGCATTTACAAATGGTAATTTTCCCGCAATTAACATTGGACCTGTCTAGGCCAATAACAGTCCGAGCACTGCAGTTTTGGTTAAATGTCTGTAGTCAGTATTCATATATTATGTGGATTCATTTTCTAGGACTCTGATATCTGAGGTAAAAATTGGAAATAATATAAAACAATTGGAATGAAATTTCTTATGGTACCAGAATCAGTGGCATAGCGTGGGTATTTTGTGAGTGTAAGAATCGAACGATCTTTGAGGGGGTTCCCCTCCTTTGAAATTGAGAATGCAGTTGAAGCGTTCTGGGGCATTTTAAAATACCAATTCCGACTAATATGGACTAATGAAATGTAAAATATTAGCCATTTTTAAAGTGTGGGGCAATTCAATCTAAATAATCAAATTTTCTCTAAATTTTGAGAGTACGACATGGCGTTCTATGAGAATATTCACCAAACATCTAATCTTGTACGTTACTATTTCAGCTGAAAGACCCAGACTGTGGACCGCTGGATCTAACTTTCTTCAAGTACAATGCATCCTGTGCCAAAGCCCCTGCCTTCATCAACATGCGTGAGGTTTGTGGACGTCATAAGCTACCTCCAGGTCATTACTGTGTCATGCCTTCAACCTTCGAACCCAACCAGGAGGGTGACTTTCTCTTGAGGATCTTCTCAGAAAAGGCTGCCGAGGCTGGGTAAGATTCTTTATCATTTGTTTTGTCATCACCAGAGGCCTTATTCACAAAGCATTGCAATTTGAATGCGACATCGCAATTTTGGCGCGGTATTCACAATGACAAGATATCGCAATCGCGTAGCAATAGCAATCGTATTAGGATAGCAATGTGTTAGCAGCTTTACTGTAACAAATAAAGTAAACATAGGATGGTTGAAATGGTATTTAATTGATTTACGACTGTCCGTGAGTTAATAATAAAAACAAAGATTAAATAAAATAAAATTGTTGTGTTTAAATGATTTTATAGACCCAACATCCATTTATTTGAAATCGCGTAGCAATAGCAATCGCATTAGGATAGCAATGTGTCAGCAGCTTTACTGTAACAAATAAAGCAAACATAGGATGGTTGAAATGGTATTTAATTGATTTACGACTGTCCGTGGAGCTAATAATAAAAACAAAGATTTTAAATAAAATAAAATTGTTGTGTTTAAATTCTATTTTGATGGGTATGGGAGGGGACCCGCTCAACCCTCTCAAAATTATATCTTCTAGGAACTTTGTTTATGTTAGCTGTTTTCCAATAATCGTTCCATCAATCCCCTTCATTGCCTCAAATCGTCCACTCCTCCATATTTTTACAATACAACGACGATACCTCTCGATCATCTCATGATCATCGTAAATATCCAATGGATGTGTTCTGTCACGAATAAACCTCGGTCTTACTAGATGCTGTCTGCGGTTCACCGCTATCACCGCCATTTTGTTTTACAGTGTCTCAGACGACTGATAATGGCGGGAATTATAAAATTGTGATTCATTGATAGCAATTTTAGATGAAACATAGAAAATATTCTTCCATTATTTAAGACAACTTTAGAACCTTAGTATCTCGTCAGAACACATGAAATGACGATTTTTTAAAATCATATGTTGGTTAGTATACCGAAAAACGACATATTAAAATAGCAAATAATTCTGAGAACGCTAAACGCATTTAATTAAAACATAAAGCAACCCTTAATATTGCGACTGTATTGGGGCTGGTAGAGGGTAGTCGCAATTATATGACGCTATTAATGCGATTGAATTGCTAAGTCGCAATCGCACTTTGATTGTGAATAAGAATTTTAGCGATTTTTGCGATGGCGATTGCGATGTCGCAATCGCATAGGATGTGACACATTGTGAATAAGGCCTCAGAAGTGGATATATTGCTATAGTCTCCACCTTTTTGTGGATGGTGTTCGGTGTTTTATGATATGTGGTTGGTGTCATTCAGGCTCTGTAACAAATGGCAGGTGGTGACATTTTGCATGTTAATGCCTTGTTTTCTTTATTTATCATATAAAGAGGAAACTTACATGTGATTCTTGCTAAAAGGCATTTGAAACTTAGTAACAGTCATATAAAAGAGATGTAGCTTCACAGGGCTGTTGCAATGCTGAGTCAGAATTACTTTTTTCTTATCTCACACAGTGCATTGAATAATATGGCTTGCTTGTGGCAAGTTAGTATATTCAGTTAAATAAAATCCTTATTGGCAAACAATTATGAAACAAGAAATCTTCTATTGTCTTACTGAGTGTTAAAAGATTGTCCTTCTTTAGGTTTTGAAGTTCGGTTTCAAGTTTCTGTACATGAAACCTCTGTTATGAAAATAAAATATTCCTGCTAGTATCTTCTCTTACAACCAGGCTATAACCAACGTTATAATCTGGCAATTAGTTATAACATGGGCTTTTAAGAGAAGGGCATGCATAAATATTGCCTAAGGTTTTTAAAATTGGAGGAAAATGCTCCATGTACTCAAAAATAAAAACATGATTATCTGCATACATCTCGTATAATACAGAATGGAATTCATCATAATTTGTTTTATATGCCTCTGTGAAATCGGAACATTCCTCACAAATTACATTTTTATTGGAATGCGTTCTTGAATAACTACCCGCTATACAATATTCAAGGATAAGCGTTTGATACCTCTTTTTCTTATTTGTTCAAAATTGATTTTTTTTTCAAGATAAAAAATATACATCCATCTAATACTCTCTGAAATATGATCAAAAAAGGGAAGCATGACAATGCTCATTTTGAAGTTCTCATGTTTATAACACAGAGTAGCATACCCTTCTCATGAAAGCCTATGGTTATAAATAATATTTATTGTCTCTGTACATACATATACGATGGCGTAGCGTCATATGCGCATAAAACGCCATGGCGTACTCTCAAATTTTAGAAAACAGATTTTTTATATTGAATTGCTCCACACTTCAAAAATGGATAAAAATGGCTAATAATTTACATTATATTCGTCCATAATAGTCGGAATTTCGTATTTCAAACGCCCCAGAACGCTTCAAATGCAATCTCATTTTCAAATTTTCTTGGGGGGACCTACCCCGAAGCTCCCCCCCCCAGAGCACGTCTATGTCGCTCACTCGTGGCGTACACTCACAAAATACCCACGCTACGCCACTGATATATGTTTTTGTCAAATGTTAAAGGGAGTGAAAGTAGAAATTACATTAAACTTTTTCAATCATTGAAAGATGTCACTTCAGTAAAAGTGGCAAAATAGATGGCAGCACAAATCATCTTTGAACTAGGAAGTGAAATGAACAACTTTGACCTTTAGAAATCTTCCAACTTTTACAAGACAAGTAGTTTCCTGAAGTTCAGAACCAAGCCATGATATAAATAGCAATAATTACATCTGCAAGGTGCTGTTCTTGATTAGAGCTGATATTGATATCTGGTGAATGTAAAGGTTACAAAGATAAACTTGTGTATAGGTGCAACTAGGAAGCAAGATGGAGTCTTGAGGTCAAACTGGCCTCTGATATGTCTGTTCATAGACTCGGGTAGACAAACATTACGTTGATTCTGGCAGGAAGTTGGGATGTTATAATGGATGCATTGTTTAGATAGTATATCTTGGATAAACAAATATTGTGTCAATAACAGACTGAAAAAGTGATAAGCTAAATCTACCTGTTGATATCAAACTGCATCATATCATACGTACTTAGCTTGTACAAACAAACACTGATAGCGATCTAGAGAAAGCCTTAAAGTACAATTAATCAGCTATGGCATATCCAAGGTCTCGATACCACCCTACTATGAAGCTAGGGATGGATCCCAGGAGATGGGCTTATGTAACAGGACAGCAGGGAGGTTACCCCTCAGCTGGGTTTAGCTACCCTCAATCTGGGGGCTTTGGACAAACACCATATCCTGCACAACCAGGACTAGGCTTTGAATCATTAACAATAAGTGATGGGGGAGCAGGTTATCCACCCACAAATCACGGATATCCATCCCAAATGCCTGGAGGATATCCCCCATCTGGACAATCTGGATACCCTCAAGCAGGTTACCCACCAACACAAGGTGGTTACCCACCAACACAAGGTGGTTACCCACCAACACAGGGTGGTTACCCACCAACACAAGGTGGTTACCCACCAACTCAAGGTGGTTACCCACCGACACAAGGTGGTTACCCACCGACACAAGGTGGTTACCCACCGACTCAAGGTGGTTACCCACCCCCTTCTCAAGACTTACCGACTCAAGGGGGGTATCCTTCAGGCCAACCTTCATATAATCCAGCATATGCACCAGGTGCTCAACCAAACTATCCTGCACAACCAAGTTATCCAGCTCAACCAAGTTATCCATCCCATCCAGGTGCCCCTGGGAGTGCACACCCAGGGGGAAGCTATGGCCAGGGGTATGATGCAAGTCAGGCATCTGGTCCAGTAGATAGGTATACAGGGTGACTCATACTTAATGAGTTCTATACCACTACATTAATTATGAGACACCCTGTGAACAGACCCGAAGATTCCCAAAATTTGATATTAGCCCTTTGGACATGTAACTGAAATTCTTTTTCATCCATGATGATTTTACAAGATGGGGAGTAGCAGTTGTGGATCTGGCTAAAATGGGCATTGTGTGGTCCTCATTTTAGAAAAAAGGTCTCATATTAATTGATAAATGGGCTTTCCTCGAAAAATAATACATTAATAGAGTTTATGTTTTCAATATTTTCAAGATGTTACTTAAAAAGTCACAAAATTTGACTAAGTAAAACATATTGAGCCTAAAATACATGTGCCTGTCGACCTTGCCAGCTATATAAGGAAGAGGGGTATGTTACCTTTGAACAATGAAAATATTGCAGAATCATAGTAGGACTCTAATACTGCAGTTGCACTTTAGCTATGCTCCAGTAATGAGACTCCCACTATTTTCAGATAAAGTTTAAGAAAATTTTATAAGAAAGTGTTTCTCTTTTCTTGGATTATTGATTGAGTATTGAAAAGGGTTATTATCAATATGGGCATTCAGTACATTAATTTGACTTGTCTGAATTGTCTGTTTTCGTTTCAAGTCAAAAGTATTTGTGGAGCCATACTTGCTTGATAAAAAAGTAACTTGTGAATCTGAGGGTCTGTCTGTGCATGGCTTGTACTTTTAGAGAAAAGTTATAATGGTTGAAACTTATTTTTAACTACTATCCACCAGTATGGGTAATGAAACAACACTGTCACATAATATTATCTAGCAGCCACAAATAATATATTTTGAATAGCATGTAAGTTGAGCTAGTGGTTGGTTGTATCAGTCACCGATCTGTTGATTCCGCATTTGCAGATGTCAATGTTCATGTTAACCATTAGGTCATAATGCCCTAGAGATAATACATTAATTGTTAGCTTTTTTTATCAAATACCTAAAAGAATGTAAAAAATATATAAATAGGGCTTCATATAAACTGTATGTAGCATTGACCTGAAATGACATGTTGCCGAATTCTGTACAAGCACCATCACAAAACATCATGGTTTCATTGCATATATTATTTTTGAAGTATATGTGCATTTTTAAAATGTTATCCATTGCTATACTATAGAGCACCATCAACACATATTAACTTGGCAGATAGTTTGTGAATTTTTACACTCACTGTCAGTTAATAGCTGATCGAGAAAAAATTCAAGGGGTTAATCAAAAGTTATGTTATTTTGAATATGTAAATTCAGTAAATTTTCGAACCACTTTATTGACTCATATCTTGAATCTAAATCCTAAATCACTCAGTAAGACTATAGGAGGATAAATTAAAGAAGTAAGAAACAAATGTTTAATTTAAATTTCCACAGTTAAAATGTTATGTTTTTATGTCCCCACCACATAGTGTGGGGCCATATTGTCGGCCTAGGCGCGTCCGTCCGTCCGTCCGTCTGTCCGTCCGTACGTCCGGGAGTTTTCTCCAAAACCGCTACAGATATCACCTTCAAATTTTCAGGGATAACTTATGAGTGCATACAGATGTGGATGAAAAAATTTGAACTCGATACCTACTTCCTGTCGGCCATTTTGAAGTCAAATGCTAAAATCCTTGTCTGCAAACTTTAAGAAAAACGGCTTCACAGTTGCTTTTAAAACTTTAACATCTTGTTCAGCTCACTTCATTCTAGATCTGATTAGGTTTTGGACCTGTTAGCTCAGTCATGTCAGCCATTTTGAATGTCTTAAGAAAAGTTAGCGCACGATAATACTTTGTATCATATTGAATGGTGTTTCTGAGTTTTCATACTTTAACTATTTTGTAGCTTTATAAATAATTGCAGATGTACTTTGTTGTAAAAGCCTATGTTATTATTAAAAGTAGTTATATGTGATAATTTTGTAAAAAGAAATCAGCAAATACTCATAATCACTTTTTTATTGTCGGCCATTTTGGATTTTTCCGTCCTAAAATCTTGTCTGTGAAGTCTTGTCTACGTGTTTTCAGGTGAACCGTTTGGTGGATCAATTTCAAATTTTCAGGGATGATTTTTAGTATGAAAATCTAGATCTGATTAGTTTTTGGCATTCTGGGTAAATGTCAAGGCAGCCATTTTGGATTTTCCGTCCTAAAATCTTGTCTGTAAAGTCTTGTCTACGCGTTTTCAGGTGAACTATTTGGTAGATCAATTTCAAATTTTCAGGGATGATTCTTAGTATGAAAATGTAGAACTGATTAGTTTTTTGGCATTCTGGGTAAATGTCAAGGCAGCCATTTTGAATTTTCCGTCCTAAAATCATGTCTGTAAAGTCTTGTCTACGCATTTCCAGGTGAACCGTTCTGTAGATCAATTTCAAATTTTCAGGGATGATTCTTAGTATGAAAATCTAGATCTGATTAGTTATTTGGCATTCTGGATAAATGTCAAGGCAGCCATTTTGGATTTTTCGTTTTAAAATCATGCCTGTAAAGTCTACACGTTTTTAGATAAACCGTTTGGTAGATCAATTTCAAATTTTCAGGGATCATTCTTAGTGTGAAAATCTACATCTGATTAGTTTTTTGGCATTCTGTGTAAATGTCTTGTTTACATGTTTTCTATTGAACTGTGTGACGGATCAATTTAAAATTTTCAGGGGTGGTTCTTAGTTCTTAAATTTTAAGGTGGCCATTTTGGATTTTCCGTCCTCAAATTGTGTTGGTAAAGTCTTGTCTACTCATTTTCAGGATAACCATTTGATGGGATCACCCATTGGTGGGGACATATTGTACACATTTGTGTTCTTGTTTCAATTTGTTACAGGGTGTTCACCAGTTTTGAGACTGAACATGACTGAGAACATTTAGATAATAACAATCCTGAAAAATTCTATATGTTTTAAGGAAATACTGTTTCCAAATTTTTGTTAAAAACTGTTCAGTTATATTTTTTTTATTATTAAGAATGAAAAAGTTGTCAACTTTCTTAATTGATACTGTTTTATTTAGAGTGTTCGAAGAGAGGTTGGGCCAAATTGGAGTAATGTGCTGCATCTCAGTCTATAAACCTTGTGGTCACCCTGTATTTTTGGAAGTAAATTGCAGTTGTTTTATTTCATTTTTTGTGTATTTGCAGAGAAATTGATGAGGAGACAGGAATCCAGGATATTGATGTAAGTTTACATTTAATATTTGCATCTTCATATATATATACAGATGTACTGTATTCTTGTTTCAACCTTTTATTTCTATCTTTGTTGAATAATATACATTACAGTTTTCATAGACAACCATTTGTTTATCATTTAGATATTAATACACAAAAGAAACGATGTACAAATAGGAGCTTCGTTATTACATCTATACATTATTTCCACTGCATAAATTTCTTACTAGAAATGAATCATTTAAAATTGAAAAACTGGAATTACTTTATTGGAAGAAGTTCATTTGATTTAACCAGGTATGAAATTATCCAACAGAGATAAAAATAAGAGTCCCAAGAGTGTATCTTGTCAGGCTTATGTAGATGAATTCGAGGTATGTCCAAGAAGTTCCTTGAGCTAGCCGGAACTTTTTGGATAGCCCTCAGTGTAGGCACCTTGTAGTTTAGGAGGTTCATACTGAACACACTTTGAGAGTCTAGTCATAAAACTGACACAAGTGCATGGTATCTCAAGCAATGTGGTCATTAAAAGGATTTTTGCCCACAATTCTTGTGCAGTAATTTGATGAAGATGTAAAAATGAAAAAAAGTCTTGCATCAAGTTCCTGTGTCAAGCTCACACTTATTTTTCTCCCAATGTAAGGTTAAGGAATAAATACTGAGGGAAAGGGTTAGAGAATGGGTAGAGGTGAGGAAAGGGTAGAGACTAGGGGAATGGGTTAGATTAGGGGAAAGGGTAGAGACTGAGGAAAGGGTAGAGACTAGGGGAATGGTTAGAGATTAGGAGAATGGGTAGAGATATGGGGAATGGGTAGAGACTAGGGGAGGGGCAAAGGCTTGATGCAAGACTTGAAGTTGAACAATCTTTATTTAAATATCACCCAAAGTGTGCACAGTACATTTTGTAGTCAATTATTAAGAGTCTAATGTAATGTAGTTTACATCTACATTTACATGATTGATTCTTAAAGTTGTGTAATAATACCCAAAGACTCCTTTACATATTGTTTGCATAGTTCATATATTTATATTTTATTGACTCTCTGATGTCATTACAATGACATATTAGTCACAAATATCATTATTTGATAATTTGATGTAACAAATTCTTATATTATAGAATATATTTAAATACATGTCATACAATGTCTTCAAATCAATTTAAACATAAAAGTCTCATTCTCTTCTCAGTGGTACACATGTAAATTCTGTATGTTCAGTAGAGAGCCTTATAGACTATTAGACTATCTTTCCGTCTCTTATACTCTTGAAACCAATATTATAAACTCCAACCATTGAATAGGCTCAGCTGTTAGAGCTTAACTGTAGAAGATCAACTGTTGAGGTATACTGTTGAAGATTTATACTGTTGAAGATTGACTGTTAGAGCTCATCTATGGAAGTTCAACTGTTATACCTTAACTTTTAAACTATTAGCCAAACTGTTTATTATGTTGCTATATGTTTAATTTTACCTATAGTACTATGTAGTTAATGTCAGTGAATGATAACTGATATTGAACATAAAATTGAAATATCATTAAAATATGTAATATCAGTCATCAAGCATTGGCTCTGGTAGATAGTAAGCTTAATTTTACATGATCCCCTAGGAGCCGGATGAAGCTAATGACGCAGCAGTTGTAAGTGCTGACACCTGGTGTCTGTTTTGCTTCCCATAGTTAGTCGAGGAATGCTTTCTTCTAGCTTGCCAAAGGATGTTTTTCCATAATTTACTAAACTATGTGCGATTTTCCATTCTGGGATTTGACCTTTAGTCCCAAGAGGTTTCTTCCCATAATCCAATGATTCAGAGGTGATGCTGGTTTCTTTTAGATATAAAGTTTAACTTATACAGACTTAATAAATACAATAATGTTTAAAGGAAGTAGAAGGGATATAGAGAGTGTATGTTAGCAGAAGTCTTGTTCAAAAAGAATGCCAAACAGTTGAGATATCTCATCAAATATACATGTAGAAGTTATTGATGATTTAATATGTAGAAATTCAATAGCATTAAAAATTGGTTGTCCCCTTTCTCAAAACTTACGCATTGCCAAGACAACCTAAAACATCAAAAGATTATCCTGAAAACTGTTGGACCTTTTAGAAAATAGGCACGACGTAGAATCAGATGAGAGCAAAATTATTGCAAAAATGTAATTATTTTCTCAAATTGTACTCTCAGTTTGTTGGTAGCCCTTCTACTTCTTTGCACTGGGGGTAGGGATGATCTGTTCCTTTTTATCTAGATAGCACTGTAATTCAACATGGCGCTCTTCTAAAGGAAAATCAGTTCAATTAACATTTTACATTGATAAATGTTTAATGCTATTAAATTTAAAGTCTCTTTCATGTGTTTGACACGTATTGTTAAATGTGTGCTTGTGGACTGATGTGAACTGAAGTGAATACTTGTGTGTTTCTTATAACTCCTCCATGTACAATTGCCCTTGATTGAAACTAGGTTTTATATCAATAATCTTGTCTCAAAATGATGTTCTTTGGGTGTTGACATTGATTGAATGTCTAATACTACTCAACTGCTACATGTTACACATGTATTTCCACATGTGTTCTGTGATATCGAAAACTAACACAAACAAATACTTCATTGTATACAATATAAATATTTAAAGCATTCTTTATTGAATATTTTTTCAAAAGGCACTACATTATTTAAAATTTTGTAGTTTAGACTTTATATTTCTTATTCTGCTTCAAAGCTAGTATAGTTAATAAGACCATCTCTGTATCAAGTAGATGCTTTGCTATATTATTTCATCTTGAACATTATCTTCATACTGTGCTTTCACCCTATATGTGAGGAGAACAATAGAACAATGGTGATTTTTGCTGAGAAATTACAATATGATGTTTGCTGAAAAGTCACCCTATGTCTGCTCCTTCCACTTAGGATGCCTTTGTTCTGTTGCATTATTTCTATTTATAATATATAGCACAACTGTTTTGTTAGACTATGTTATTCTTTAGATAGTATGTACATACAGCCTCTACAATATTTTGTGATAAGTTTCAGGCCTGTGGCCAAGATTTGCCAAGGGGGTTCACTTTTTGAAAAATTCCAGGGGGGTTTACTTTTAACAACTTGGCCCAAAAATGCCCAAAATACTAGTGAGTGAGTTTTTCCTTGTTGCTTGTCAATGAAACATAAGCACCAGCTCTGAGACCAGTTAGGTTTGTATCCCAGTTAGCTTATTTTATTCAGTATATGTGAGAAAATAACATGGTGACAGTCCATCATTCAGTTTTCACCAATTTGTCAAGAATCATTTCAGAACCATGTTTTGGTCCTGTTTTGTTCTTAAAGCACCACTGTATTTTAAATTTTACCTGATGTACATACTACTAAAATCTATAGAATATTTTTCATCCATGATAAGGCAAAAGCAAATACAAGAAATGACAAGGTAATTATTATGCATAACATCCCAAGGTTTTCATTCCAATTTTGTAATATCAAAAATGTTTTTGCCTAATCATGAGATACTTCACTGAATATTTACTTAGATGTTTCACTCTGCTATACTTTCTATTAAGGAATTTCAGCCACACGAGCCACTTAAAATCCAAATCATATCAGCCCAGCGTGCGTACAAGTCGGGCAGTGGTGTAGGTGATCTCTAACACAGACACTCCCCATCCTTTCCTCTAACTATATCCTAACACTCTTGGCTTTAAACTCAACAACTTACAAACGCAAAAATTGTTAGAGTTACAACAATTTTGGTTTACTACTAAATCCTCTTTTGATGAAATCTGAATTTTGAAATACTCAATTTGTTAAATGCTGCTCTTTCAGTTGAAGGCATCAGTTTTATTCATGGTTCACTTTTATCAGATCTTTGATGGTGACTATTCATGAGAAAACATTTTCAAAGTACTTTAAAAATGTCTCTTGGTCTTTAGTGTCACATTTATTCTGATCTGAAATATTATTTAAGGTAAGCCTGGTAGAGTGAGTTATCTTGTTGTGACCTTTCACAAGAAGGTTTACACATTGATATCATGTATGATCAGCAGGGATTGAAACTTACAGCTGCCTGACTGCCAATAGCAATTACGTTGCACTCTTGGCAATGAACTTGGAAAAATGAGTTGCCTATTGGGCAATGGATTGAATGCCAATATGTTGAATTGGGCAATCATATATTCGAGCTTAGTCATGAACCCTGATGATCAAGTTTAAAAAATTATTCTACAAGGCCCTCCTTAAAGCTTGCTTAATTTGGAAGGTTTTATTGTATTTCTCTCTATAATTAAGGTATTGCTTATCTAAAATATTTGTTTTTATTTTTATATTGTTTCCCTATGCACAATAAGTATTATTTAACTACTCTTTTTGATTGATATTTACTTTTTGCTCATGATTTTGAAATTGTCATTTGCACAGTTTTTACTGTCTCATTGTGTAAATAATATGTCCCAGCACAGTGTGTGTAAGAGTGTTGGAAGTGAATGCAACTTAAAGTAGAACATGCATCTCGCCAATCAGGTGCAGAGTTGTATTCACTTCATTCGTTTCTATGATACCACCATAACAGTGTGAACTTTGAGAGTGATTGTATGAAATATGACGTGTATGATTAGATTGTACTGATGAATATCTCCATCCTATGACAGAAGAACAATCCATGTGTACTAGATTTCAGCTCTTATTCAATTACATGGGTTTAACACCTGCAAATTATACATTTATTTGGTATACCCCCAGGAATAATTTCTGTAACTTTGTTGAGTTTGTCTATGGAATAATGGAACATATGGCTTGTATTGGTCATACTTAGTATGTATATCGGAATTAGCAATATGTTTGTATAATCTTGTATGATAATGCCAAATAGGTATATAATTCTTGAAAAGTTTTGATATGTCCATCTATTCATTGTTCAATTCTAAAGGAGAAATGCATTTTTGCGATTATCTGATTGTTTAAAGACATGCTAAGGCAAATGACACTTTCCTCTCAATTAATTGTGCCGTATAACATGTAGTTCCAAAAAAGTTCTGGTTTTGACATTTTTGAAACAATTATTTATCTTAGCAATTCTTCAAGAACCCTATAGCCCCAGCATGTTCTCCGGGATGTGTAAGTTAGTCTATACTTCTAATAAGATAGTATCCACATCATTTAAAGTCCCCGTCTAAAGTTTGAAAATATTTTTTTATCATTCATTTACTATTTGTCAGGACTTAAAAAGTGATTTTAGAGATTTTTGAACAAAAAAAAAATTTTGGAAAAAAAAGTTGTGAGCATTTCATTTCTCAAATATTCAAATTTCCCGCCATTTTTCAAAAAGAGTTGAAATTTCTTAATCATCAAATATTTCTTAATGCATTTCAAAAAAGATTATCTTTTTAATACTTATGCAAAGGTTGAACAAAGGACACACTATTTCAATAATAAAATGCCATATTTAATGGGCCACTTCAATGTTTTAACATATCAAAAATATTTTGAAACATTAGTGATGTCACTAAGGTACCAATATCTTTTTGAAAAAAATTGAAATTTTTTTTTCGATGTCAATCTTTTCTAAATATGTTACACTTTCATAAAAAAAACAATGTTGATTGTCTAACCAGGTTAAAAGGAAGAATAAATTATGTTTTAGGTATCATTGTACCATTGGTTTCTATGAGAACTAAAATTTTGAAATGCATTTTTCTCAAAACCATTTTCATGCACTGATAAGTTCATTTCTCGCTTATTTATGCACCGATTTTCTTAATTTTTTCGGCAAAAAACGTGAGAGGATGAATGCTCTGCATTCGTATGAATTGTGGCTAATTAGAAGATATGAGTGACCTCTAAAAGTTGGTTTTAAATAAATTCACAAATTTTGGAACAAAAAGTCTATCAAAAACCACTTTTTGAAATTAAAAAAAAAGTTTCACATATCACACTTTGATAACATTGGGTAAGACTACAATATAAGCCAAAGTGGTTTAAACTTTATATGGGGCCTTTAAGCAAAAACCAGCCATATACAAGTTAAGAATCTTTAAAATCATATCACATTCTATTTCTAACAAGTATCAACTTTTTCTCTTTTAGCCTCCACCAAAGACAGATGAGGACGTTGCCCAGGATGAGGCTCTTAAGTCAGCTTTTATTGGCATTGCTGGTGAAGACATGGAGATTGATGCTTATGAATTAAAGGATGTCCTTGATAAGGCTTTCAAGAGAGGTAAACATGCACTGTTTATGTTTTTGAATCAGTAATTTTTGAATGTAATGAATTAAGCATCTTTATTTGACTGGGTGTTCATAATGTTTGTTACTTGTTTGTGTAAACAGCAGTATATTGTTGAAACAAACGTTTTCTGCCTCGCAAGTTGCATGGATATTTCCAGATATATTGTTGCTCTTATCATCTTAGTCTTTGTAATATCAAAATGATCATTGTGAAAAAGTAATACAACAGATAAATGACTTTTGATGAATTACATTTTGATGAGATTTTGGTAGATTATTAATAAATCTCCATAGTAACTATATATTATATATATATTATATATGCATGTTATCTATTTTTGTGTCGGAATAATAGCCATACGTAAGGTTTTATAATAGTATGGATGTGACACTATAGAAATATAGAAGTGCTTAGAATTTGATATATGTGTGCTTTAACTGACTTCGTTTCAGGGTTTGGTTCAGGTCTTTACAACTAGCAATGATTCTCTCCTTGCTTTATATATTTTATAAATTTCACAATTTCTAACCATGATTTTGAAATTATTGTAAAAGAGCCTGTTGTTAAAGATAATATTTTTATGTTTTGAAGGGGTTTTCAATCAAGATAAACTATTTCTTTGTGAGAACTGTTGTATTTTTGTTGTACAGTGCATATACACATGTAGTATCCAAGTTATATAGCCCCTTGCTACAGCCATCAAGCCAATACTTCTTCCAACAAAATCAGGATATGCCGATACAATACAACATGTAGCTGTCATGCCCTTCTTGATAATTTGGATACTGCATGTGTTATCAGATGTCATAAATTCACAGATTTATTTTCCCAAAACATTTTTTGAATATGTAGTATTGCTTTAGATGTTGTTAACCAAAGTAACTGAGAGAGTGTAATGTTAAGATATCTATGAACTTTTCTTTATGAAAATGACCTGAAATATCCAAAATGACAAATGTTTAGAATATTCTGATGCAGAATGTTCCAATAATGTTCAACACACATTTTAATACATTCCATCAAGAAAAATGTCTCTCTCCATCATTGACTTGCATGTTAGATAATAAAAAAATTGTTGTTTAACTTCATAGAAGGACACAGCTAATTTACAATAAAACCTGTGTATATGAAGACCTCTTTTAAGTGAACACTCAAAAATGAACATGCAGATATCTCCTGAATTCCCCCATTTGATCAGAACCTTTGAGTGTGTCCCATTGTTCCATTTTTCCAGTTTTAACAGACAATCTATGTTCACTGATGTTTTACTGTACTTATTATTCATTATTGGTTTACTTTTATTTCAGAGTTCAACTTTGATGGCTTCAGCAATGAGACCTGTAGGAGTATGGTGGCTATGAGAGATGTATCCTTATGAGGCAATTAAGAATCACTGTGAAATTAATGAATGGCAATTATAGTTATTTCATCACAATCATGTTTTAGCAAAATTACTGCATTCCCACTGACCCTCGAAAAAAATATTTGAGATAGTTGTACTGTTCTCATTGAACTTGATTTCCCAGCCTCTGTTGTACTTTTGAATTTTAATGATCATCGATGTTAGATACCATAAGATTCTTTATAATTCACTTCCTTAACCCTGCCAGTTTGATCGCTCTGGTAAGCTAGGATTTGATGAGTTCAAGGAGTTATGGGCAGACTTGAGAGTGTGGAAGGGAATGTTCAAGAAGTTTGATCAGGACAAGAGTGGACACCTCAACAGTTATGAGCTGAGGAAATGCCTCAATGGAGCAGGTATGTGATAAGTTATGGCACTAGATTATGAACTCTTGATCTTTGTTACAGATCCTGCCTTCAAGTAGTTACTAAACCTCTACAAATTTGGGTAAAAATATTTTTAAGTAGATACCCTTACATTCAATAATTAAAAAAAAATACAGTTCTAATGTACAGTGCCATAATAAAAAATGGTACTATACTTTCTTTTTCATATATAACATACGATACGTATATTATACATGTACTTTCCTTATACATGACAATACTTTCCTTGTGCATGAAATGTACTAGTATTATAATTTTCTTACTTATTTCTTTCTGGTTCAGGCAAGATTGTTTGTGCTAGTTTGAGTGGTCCACGACTCGTATAAAAGACTGTGGTGTGTAATTGTATGTCTTTGTACTGGTGCACACTAAAGAACACTGGGTTCCAAGGGGTTCCTGGCTCTGTCTTCGAGTGTAAAATACATAAAATACAGAAAATACCAATTAGGAATTGCTTGCCGATTATGGCAGTAACCAAGATACAATACAATACACATGTACTTTCTTTTTAGGCTTCCGTATCAGCAACTCTACATTCAATGGCCTGGTGATGCGTTATTGCCACAAGGACGGTCATATTTACTTTGATGACTTCATACTCTGTGCCGCACGACTCAAGACAATGTTTGGTAGGTTAAAGCAATATATATTTTGACACTAGGGTAATAGTTAGGTGAAATGTATTCATTTTGAGCCTTCTGACCTCTTTTTGAAAAATGTTTTGTCAGCCTATGGTAGATCACAGCCTTTTCTGACTGGCCTCCCTCCTGGCATCCATATCATAGGATATCTTCTCTTCACATTGATATACAAGTATATTTCATGTTACAATGTTCTTTGCTTACAGATATTTTCAAGGAGATGGACCCCAATAAGACAGGCACAGCTGGGTTCACTCTCGATGCAGTAAGTATTATGATTATATATATTTGTACAATTTACCATTACAATATACCAGTATACAAATAAAATGTACCAAACAACTAAGTTGCACGCAATAAATACTGGGAGTAAAGTATTGGCTAAATTAATGTCAAACTTTGCAACCAGCATATAATGTCAAACTTTGCAGACAGCAATCTTTATGACCAAAATTGTAAGTTTTGAAAATTGGAATTGAAATGATCCTGTGTTCCAGTCACATCATAATATCCAATAGGAGTTTCTTGAAATTAATTCCTGAACACGTTTACTTGTTCTATTTTATCTGTTTTTCAATTTAAAATCATTGTTTTCTTGTTTCAGTTTGTGCAGACTACAATGTACTCATAAACTGTAAAAAGCAGCTGCTTTGTTTACCATGCAGCTATATAATGTACCATGCAGCTATAGGGACAGCCATATGATGTACCATGCAGCTATAAGTGACAGTAGAGATGACATATGTACATGAAACTATACCCGTATAATCATAATAAAGTATATAACGATGGCAGATTTGTCAGTACAATACTAGTCAACAAATAGGGAGTTTCTGCCAATATGGATAGACCTGCTGTATAGTACAGTTCACCAGTTATAGTCAATAGTCATCACGTATAATTCATACATAGGTTTATAGATGTAACTCCAAAGTCTGCTTAAAAGGATCTCTTGGAATCCTGGAAAGTGAAAAGTAGAAATTATTATTAAATTCAAATTTATCAATTTATTAGATCTGCTGGAGGATTTATTATCTGTATTTTCTAAATTCTTTGATTGAACATGGAAGCTTTACATGAATAATATGCACATTGTTATGGTTTAAAAATCGATGTTTTCAATGTTTTCACAAAAAAATCTGGCATTTTATGTACGAGGGTTGTCCCAGAAGTAATGCACTACATGCTCTAACTTTCTTTAATATTCTTCAATTCAGCTGAAATTTTGTGTGTATAACAATTGAAGTTTTATCTATTATATCCTGAAGTTTCAGCATCAAACATTAATATTAAGTCTTAATATGGTTGCTATAATAACATGGGGGTAGGGGTGGGCGGGGCAGGTACCAAATTTTCTAATTATGAAAAGATTTAAAGTGTTATTTTATTAATATTTCTTTCCTTTAAATGATCAAAATAATTGGGAAATTGTTAAATTTATTCAGCATGATGTTAACCAAGTACAAATAATGACATTTAGCACTGTGATATCATAATACCACATTTCAATAGTCAAGAATTCAAATACAGTCACAGTCAAGAAATTGTAAAAATAGCTGCAATTCACACCTGATACCAGAAGGCCTTGTGTTTGGTGGCCTAATTCCATACCTCACTTGGATTCACAGCCACGCAAAACAATGCTATCATGAAGAAAGTACGTAAGGAGTATATACCAGATAGAACTACAAATATGGGGTGGCAGAAGAGATTTAAAAGAGACGATTTGACCCTGGATGACAACTCCAAACATGGGAGGCAAAATCTCCACAAGTAACGGTGGAAGAAATTGCCAAGAGTGTTTGACCTGACAGGCATCAAAAGTACATAACATGCAAAGGGCAATATTTTGAGAAAATGTGAAATGGGACACTGTGTAATATACATCCATTGAATCTTGGATGTGCTCATGGTAATTTAGTATCTTAAAATGTATTTCTGAGCATACTTCTTATAGCTACACAAAATGGTATTTGTTGATTAATATTTCATATTTTAAATTTTTTATTCCTTTTGGCGTGACTGTATAACCTGCCCCGCCCTACCCAAACTCACCAACTTGATTTTATTATAACATCAATATAGTTTTATCAGTCAACATGAAATTTCCTAGAATAATCAAAATGTCTCTAAGGAACATTTACTGAAAATTTCATGGAAAAATATCAATTATTGATAAAGTTAAAGAATATAGTGCATTACTTCTGGGACAACCCTCGTATTAGAGCTTTCCAATTATACTTAAATGTGATTTTGATGAGAAATTCTTCATTTGAATCTCATTTTCTTACTTATTTCTAACTTCCAGGGTTGGTCTTTAAACTTTATGTATGATGTTTATAGAACTTAATTATGATACAATATTTGATATTATTGCTGTTACTGATCCAATTACTAAATTCAATTTCATGAGCCTTATTGTTACATTTCACAAATACTATGTACTATTTTATAATGTACAATTTGAGTTATATAAGTCTTTTGTAAAATTGTGAACTTTAAGTATGCTATTATACGAGTACATAGCTTCTGCTTAGCTGCCTGTAAATAGGGTTGACACTGTGCAATGAGAAGTTATAAGCTACCTTGATACCGTAATACCATTTGTTACATATAGTACTATATGTACTACATGTAGCTAGGTATGTATAATTAATACCTTCAGCTTTTTGTGACTTTACACTCGATATATCATGTACAAAAGTGTCATCAAATTGAGCCATTCAGTTTAATAATTATTTGTTACCAATCAATGTTTTGTATATTTTTTCATTTTTACATGCAAGTATGAAATGTACATGTTGCCATGTCAACCATTGCCATGTTGCCTATACACTAGTTGTTTATAAAGTACTGTATATCAGTATATGCAAACAAGAAATGAGCTTTAATTAAACTAAAAACTATAAGATCAGTGTACTATGTACATGGACAATCATATTTTCTCAAATCATTTCATGAATAAGATCCTATCTCCTTCAGTTATTTTTTCATGAAATGTTATGATATCGTGAATTAAATGTAGTTTGAAATATTAGTTTTTAATATATTTTATCTGATAGTTACGATATGTTATATAGCGAGGGTACTGCTATATATATCATTAAATTAAAGTTAGATTTTTGTTGCATGAATATACAGCAAACATGTTATATGATATGTGAATATCTTACAGGTTATGATGTACTCTGATAATTGACTCATATGTAGAATATTTCAAATAAGGATGAATTTTATATTAATAGCCATAGATGTTTTAACCTATTATGTATAAATTAAATCATTTCAAGTTTCTTGCATGAGTTTGGTTGTCTCTTACTTGCCAAAATAAATCAGGTGAATTAAAATCAGCATTTTTATTTAGCATTTATATTTGAGTTATAAGTGTATAATATAATTGAATTAGCTATGAATTATTCAATGTGAAATCTTTGTAAATCTTTTTACACATGTAATTCTGTTAAGAATTAGGAATAAAATGTAAGTAGACATCATTATACCATTGAGATATGATTTCTGTTGTCTGCTTTCCTGGACAGAGTTCCATTAGACCTTTTTACTCTATTACTACTCACACATATTAAGACATCTTTACCATGTTTACCCCAGGCTATCTTCTACCTCATTGGTATTTTACTAAATTCTTTCTCAAAGTAAAACCATGTCTCATTCAAGTCCTAAAATATCTTTAATAGCAGCTCTTGGAGAAGAGTCCTTATTACAAGACCAATCTTAAAATCTAGATATAGTACACAGATATCAAAATGAAAGTCAAAACAACCTATAACAGGCACATCATATCAAAAGACTGTAAAAAACCTTATCCGTAAATATTTCAATTGTGAAATACATTGAAGAGTATGTGAATATATTAGTTGAAAATTGGGCATTTGTGCCACTTACTGAGCCAGTTTTTCAAAGTATGAGATATCAGACAAGAAGGTTTGTATGTTGCAATTGGCAGACTTTGTTTGATTTTGGTGTACTTAGCAGTCACAGGTGACTTTCAGAGTTCAGTGTTGAAACAAGAAAACATGTGTCAATGTCATTTTTATTATAATATGAGTAAAATGTTGAGAATTGGAAAGGTTGTCATTTAGCCCAAAAATATGTTGTCTGTATTAGGCTTAACTGTGAATTGAGTAAGTTCAATGGGACAACATACATTCGAGTTGACAACGCACACTTATGATTTTTTAAATTATAGCCAAAATGTTAATACTTTTTAAATCTTTGTGCTATTTAAAGAAACATATTCTCATAAAAATCTTTGACACTCTTAGATGACAGGGGTGGAAATGATCAAAGGAAATGTGTAAAAACACAACATTTTCCAACCGACCAATTATATGGGTAGATTGACTACGAAAAAAACTGAGCACTGTTCGAAAATCTTTTAACGTTATTAGAAAGTTAAATGTCTTCCTAAACAAATACACAAAAAATCAAACATAAAATCCTTAATGCATTCCTCAGATTATTTTTTTGAAACCTACATCAAACTTACATCATTGTCTTTGCTTCAAATCAGTTGAATAGTGATATCATACATCTAAAGTGTACAACGGTATATTTTGTCACTGTACCTTGTCGATGGTTAGGCGTGCAATTGTTGAAGTCACATTTAAAAGGATAATAAAAAAATATTAACTCTGTATTTTTGGTTCATTATTTATGTAAGATAAAAAAAATGATTAGAGTATGGGTTTTAATCAGATCCCATGATACGGTGAAGCTGCTCAGCAATATCTTCAGGGTACTGCATTAGAAAGCGTGCATGGCGGTATGTTCAGCCCTAATGTGAATCATCAAATGCTCACATTTTGTTGAGGTCTGGTAAGCACCCATGTAGAAGTAACCTCGGAAGTTTTGCACTAAATTTCATGAATTTTACATGTACTTAAATTAAAACTATTTTACTCTGCCAGTCCGTATTTATGAAAAGGATCAATAAACGGGAAGTTAAAACAGGGAGAAAAGGTTCACGTTTACAACCTGATCATTTTGATTTAACCGCATTAGTTATTTAGGTTGCAGATCATTGATTTTACATACAGTGTACATACTCGAAATACAGAAGAATGTATTATGAAGCATTTATCTTTATTAAGTTGCACAACAGTCAACATAATCATATACATAATACATGTACTTTAACAGGTTAATATCAACAATATTATTCATTTCAGACAAAAAGACAAAAATCAATATAATCATGCAAGTAATTACTTATTTCTGGATAAATACAAATTAGCGATATCATTCATTTTTGCTAAACTTCATCAACCATTAAAAATATATTGGAGGTAATCTGTTGATAATTCATTAATAAATCATCAAAAAATTGGCTTACTTCATCTACTCTGAGATGTTGTTTCCGCCATCTTGTAATTGATCATTGCTACTCTTCAATGGACTGAACTGTGCTATTTGAATGCCTTCAAGGGATTTTAATTGGGCATTACGAGCAGCATGTGCATGAGTGCGTTCATGGGTTTTTAAATTGGTTGATTGCGCAAAAGATTTGTCACATATCAAACAGGTATATGGCTTTTCTCCCGTATGCTTTCGTTCATGTTTTCTGACATCATTCGATCTTATGAATGGTTTATCACAATATTGGCACTTGAATTTTTTCTCGCCAGTGTGAATCATTACATGTTCTCTGGCAGAACTCTGAGAGCCAAACGTTTTTGCACAATACTGACATTTAAATGGTCTCTCCCCAGTATGCTTTCTCTCATGTTCTCTTAAGTTACCCCTCTGTGAAAAACGTCTCTCACAATATTGGCATTTAAAGGGTGTTTCTCCAGTATGCGTTCGTTCATGAATTTTGACCCCAGCACGATTGATAAATGTTTTTTCACAGTATTGGCATTTGAAAGGTTTTATTTTACTATGTGTTCTCTCATGATTTCGCAACCCTGTTCTACAAGAAAAACATTTTTCGCAGAATTGACATTTGAATGGCTTCTCACCAGTATGAACTCTCTCATGTGTCTTTAAATGACACATCCACAAAAATGTTTTCTCACAGAAAGAACATTTCAGTTCAGGTTCACCTGTATGCTGCATTTCATGAGCTTTCAAAGTTTGTTTAGAATTAAAGGCATCATTGCAGTATCTGCATTTAAAATGTCTTAAATCTGTGTGCATTTTTTCATGATCTTTTGCACTAGCTTTGTTAGTAAAATATCTTTCACATAAACTACACTTAAAGGGTTTTTCCCCAGTGTGAATTCTCTCATGAAGTCTACAGTTTCCAGCTTGGGTGAAACCCTTTCCGCAAAAGTTACATTTAAATGGCGCTTCCCCAGTATGAATCCTTTCATGAAGTTTCAAAATACTTGCCTGTCTAAAACTTTTATCACAATATTGACAAGGAAATGGATTCTTACCAGTGTGCTGGATTTCATGATCTCTAAAGCCACTTTTTGATGCAAAACATTTATCGCAATATTGACATCTGTAAGGTTTCAACCCAGTGTGTTTCCTCATGTGAACCCTCCAATGACAGGCCCATATAAAACTCTTGTCACAAAATCTACATTTAAATTGCTTGTTATCTTTATGCCGTCGTTCATGAAGTGATAAATAAAAGGACATTGTGAAAGTCTTACTGCAGTACTTACATTTAAATGGCTTCTCACCAGTATGCAACCGTTCATGACCAATGAGCCTTTTTCTTGTTGTAAAACTTCTAATGCAATATTTACAACTGAATGGTTTTAATCCAGTATGCACCATTTCATGTTCCTTTAAGTTACCTTTTTGTCTGAACTCTTTCTCACAATACTGACACTTAAATGGCATTACTCCTGTATGGATCCTAGAATGAATCTTTAAATTTGACGCTTGCGTAAAAGACTTATTGCACACATCACATTTAAAAGGTTTCTGTCCACTATGAATCTTCTCGTGTTTCCTAAGATAGTTAGCTTGAATAAAACTGCGATCACATATTTTACACTTATATGATTTTTCAGCTGTGTGGATTTTCTGATGGGCTTTACAATTGCTCGCTGATGTGAAGCGTTTCTGGCAGTAAGGGCATCTATACGGTTTATCCTCAGTTATATGTGTAGCTTCATGTTCCTTTAACGCATTAGCATCTGTGAAATATATAGAACAGAATTTACACTTCAATATATTATTGGTGGCTTGACTAAAAATCCCAGGGGTAATCGGGATGTTAAAGTTATCTGACTGAGTTTTGTTCTCAACATGTTCCATATTCTCAATTTGTTCATTAAAGACAAACTTTTGGGTTACATTTTCATTTTGTGGTATTGTGTCAATGTCTTGCTCTGGAGTACTTATGTGGTTTTTCTCATGTTTTGTCAGAGCCAGCTCAGATATGCAAGATTTGCCACATGTCTTACACTGGAAGTTCATCCCAGTGTGGACAAATTCATGTAGTTTACGAGTAGTAGATGATATAAATGTTTCATCACAATGTCGGCATTTAAAGGGCCTAACACCTGTATGTACCCGCTCATGTTCAGTACGCTTATTCCTGCTCATGAACAATTCCTCGCAATATCTACATTTAAAAGCAAGTTCACTTGTGTGTGTTGTTGTATGCTCATTAAGCTTATGCTTTGTACTGAATGTCTTATCACAATACGTACACTGAAATGGTTTCTTACCAGTATGTCTCAATTCGTGTTCTTTGAGAACATTGGCATATGTAAAACTTAAACCACAAATATCACAAATAAATGGCTTCTCCTTAGTATGTAATCGTTCATGCTCTAAAAGTTTACTTCTACTGGTAGCTGTTTTGTCACAAAATTGACATTTTAGCACATTTTCTCCAGTGTGCATCTTTTCATGTGCATTTAAACTACTTTTTGTGCCCATATTTCTACCACAGTATTTACATTTATATGGCTTCTCTCCAGTATGTATTCTTTCATGTTGTATTAATTTACTCTCACTAGTTAGACATCTCTCACAATATGAACACTTGAACAAATTTTCACCAGTATGAAGCCTCACATGGGCCTTAAGGGAGCCTTTAGTACTAAGATATTTATCACAAAAATTACATTTAAAGGGTTTCTCCCCAGTATGTTTTCGTTCATGTTCCTGAAGTTTGCCTTCAGTTGGAAAATATTTACAGCAATAAGAACACTGATGTGTCAGCTTCCTCCCTCTGTAGTGAGTATGTAGAAGCTCATGTTCATTTGAATCTTGACTAGTGTGAAAACTCGCTTGACAATACTGACAACCGAATAAACCTTGTATTCTGTCAAGCTCCTCACTTGAACCGGGTTCCTGTTTAATGTCAATGTTAATCTCTAAATTATTCAACTCTTCTTCTCTCTTAGGTGCATAAGGATCTCTCATCTCAAAAGCCTCACTTGTTACATTGGAATAACCTGTCTCATGCTTGAAATTGTCTTCCGTTATGGTTTTAATAGGGATAGCAGCATAAATGTTTTTATAATCAAGTCCTCGATCATATTCTTGTCCTTCATTTTTGAGATAATTTAAGTTGTTGAGCTCTTCAGTGTAATCAGTGACATTAGAGTACAAAGGTTCTGTTGCGTTACTATCACAAATAGTATCATCATATTCTGTGTAATCATTAGGTTCTTGCTTTATATCAAATGTATCATATTCCTGCTTTATATCAAATGTATCAGGTTTCTGCCTTATATGAAAAGCACTATCATCATTACCATAACTTACACAATCTTCACCCCTTTCAACATATTCATCCATTTCAGATGGTTGGATGGGTGGATCATTTTCATAATTTACACTATCTTCACCTGGTTCATTATATTCATCAATTTCAGATGGTTGGATGGATGGATCATTTTCATAATTTAAATTATCTTCACCCCTTTCAACATATTCATCAATTTCAGATGGTTGGATGGGTGGATCATTTTCATAATTTACACTATCTTCACCTGGTTCATTATATTCATCAATTTCAGATGGTTGGATGGATGGATCATTTTCATAATTTAAATTATCTTCAGCTGTTTCAACATATTCATCCATTTCAGATGATTGGATGGATGGATCATTGTCATAATTCATGCTGTTCTCACCAGGTTCTCCATAGTCATCCCCTTCAGGTGGTTCCTGTTTTATATCTAATATTGGATCATAAGCTTCAACATATTCTTCGCTGTCTAAATTGTTTTGGTCATCTATGATAGTGGAATTGCTTCCAGAATGTTCTCCTCGACTCTGCTTCTCATAGTTCATTTCCATCATGTTTTAGTGCTTTGAATAACATTCAGCTTCAATCAGTCTGGTTTCCATCAGATCATGTTGCACTCTAATCAGATCTCATAACACATCAGTCAGTTCTCATTGCCTCAGTTTTCAGTGCATTTTAATTAAATCTCTTAGCATTTCAATGAGTTCTCACCGCATTCCATTCAGCTCTCATTACAAATCAGTTCTTACTGCAAATTTGCTTTGTTTCTCCAGGTGGCCTCCTGAGTGATGAGTTGTAGATTCATGACTTGATTGTTTGATGTTGTTTAGCCAATTCATAGAGGTCTATATATCATGGATGAATCTGAAAACAATAATGTATGACTTAATCTCCTATGACTGAATTTTCTCATATGACTAGCCAAGATACAGCCATCTTTACCCCATGTAAGATATAGAGGTTCTTATATGAGTACCTGTGCAAGATCGTCCATTCTTGATGAGCTTTGATAATTCTTCTTTATCGAGTCAAAGACGAGATAAAGAAACATTATCAAAGCGAGTCAAGAATGGACGATATTGCACAGGTACGAGTACAAGAAAGTTTTTCTCATATGACTCTGTATTATGCCATATTTTCACCATTTTATCATAAAACTGAGTAAAAATTGCTTCAAATTAATTGAACTTCATCTTTCAATTGTTATGACGTCATAACAATATTGAAGAAAATACATAGATACATGTGTCAACAAAGCTCCATTGTTATGACGTCACAACTTAGTTTTGTAGAATTAGCATGGATACGCATAACAACGCTGTACCCGTTGCCATGTTGTTGATGTTTATAGACCGGTGATGTCACAAGTAAATCTCATCTTGCACGTGTGACTTTTTAGGATGAAAGATGGCAATATCTTGCATGGGGTAAAGATGGCTGTATCTTTGTTGGTCATATGAGAAATTGCAATCTTTCATCCTAAAAAGTCACACGTCTAAGATGAGATTTACTTGTGACATCACTGGTCTATAAACATCAACAACATAGCAACAAATACACCATTGGTAAGAGTATCCATGCTCATTCTACAAAACTAGGCTGTGACGTCATAACAATGGAGCTTTGTTACCATGCGTATCTATGTATTTTTTACAATATTGTTATGACGAAAGATATTGTGGGAATTTTTAATTCCCCCTGAGTAGTACTAGGGCCTGTGAAACGTTTATTTTACAGGATTTTATGTTATTTCATGTTTATTTAATGTTCCGTCCCTGTAATTTGGATGTTTACTTGATCAGCAAGCTGGGTTGGAATAAATTTGCATAATTAGGCACCCAGCAACAGAGCTCAACCAATCAGATGGCTTCATTTGAATTTACCGCCAACTTAAATTGTATTTTCCCATGATGCAACCTGAGATGTCTGGACTTTAGCGTGAGATCGTGACCTGTAAATCAGAGTAAACCAAGACTTTGCAGAGGAAGGACCTCGTTAATTTGTATCGTTTATGTGGGAGCGTGATCGATTTGAATTGAGAACTATATTAGACAATCTACAGGTTATTTGGATTATTTGCTGTCATTATTTGCTGCAGTTTTGCATTCGTCTGTGACTGTGCGAGATACAAGAAGATAACAGCCAGTTTTGGGTGAGTTGGCAATTTGATTATTGAGTTTGACGCCATATTGCTGTCCGCCATTTTGATTTCTTCTTCCCAGAATTCCTAGTGGTCGGCCATCTTTATTTTTACGGAAGTGACGTCATTTTAAGAAGTAATTCCTCCTCCGAGTAATTAAGGCTCTTGTCTAATCTCAGTTTGATTGATATTCGAGAGTCGTATCTGCTTTGAGGACTCACTGCTCCGAGTGATTACTCCTCCAATTATTTAAGTGTTATATCTCCTCCGAGTTATATTTGGTCCGAGTAGTCACAGCTCTGTCTAATCTCAGTTGTGATTGATATTCGAGAGTTGTATCTGCTCCGAGGATTGCCAACTCCGAGTGATTACTCCTCCATCTAGTTGAGAGCCATACCTACTCCGAGGACTCACTGCTCCGAGTGCTTACTCCTCCATCTATTCTAGAGTGGAATCTGCTCCGAGGGTTCAGGATACAACTCAGTCTAATCTCAGTTTAATGATCGATATTCGTGAGTTGCTCCTTCTCCTCCTCCGAGTTATTGATGATCCGAAATTGATACAAGTTGCTGAACTTGACGTACCCTCCGAGGTGATTTGACTCCTCCAGAAGTTAGATACTGTGGTTACACTACCGGAACCAAAGTATTTCTGTGTTGCAAGGTTTACTCTCATTGGAGCCAAGGTTACACTCCCGGAACTGAGGTACTCCACGATCGAGAAGTGGCAGCTCTGGTCTAATCTCACCACTTGATTGACATTCCAGAGTTGTTATTTCTCTGTAGAAGTTGTAGTGGTCTCTCCTGTGAAGTGGCGACTCCCCGAGCAGAAGACACTCCCGGAGCCTGGACCCCTTCCACGAGACAGTTTTATAGAGACGAGAAGACTCCTGGAGTGGAAGGTACTCCAATAGCTAGGGTCTTGTACAAAAGAAGAGGTTTCTCCTGTGAAGTGGCGACTCCCCGAGCAGAAGATACTCCCGGAGCCTGGACCCCTTCCACGAGACAGTTTTATAGAGACGAGAAGACTCCTGGAGTGGAAGGTACTCCAATAGCTAGGGTCTTGTACAAGAGAAGAGGTTTCTCCTGTGAAGTGGCGACTCCCCGAGCAGAAGATACTCCAGGAGCCTGGACCCCTTCCACGAGACAGTTTTATAGAGACAAAATAACTCCTTGAGCCGAGGTTACACTTCCAGAACCAAAACTCCTGGAGCCCTGATTCCTCCGAGGTGAGACGACTCTGAGGGACAGCGCAGTGAAGATTATTTGGAGCATTTATAACTTGGGTCTAATCTCAGTTTTGATTGACATTCCTGAGTTATTCCTCCTCCATAGATATCACATTGAAGCCGTGATATAGACGAGACGATACCTAGAGCAGAAGAAACTCCCCCGAGGTTAAATTCCAGTTTAGAGGTGAAGAAAGCTGCAGAGGAGCAGATCCTCCTCAGGCCAATTTACCAGTTGGAGCAGAAGGACCTCCTAGAGGGTGAAGATCATAGGAGCAGATCCTCCTCCTCTTACAATTATTCAAGAAGGAACAATTACAAAGACATTCAAGCTCTATATAGACATTTTGAATTTATTTGTATTATAATTTTACATTGGAATAGATTATAAAATCCCTGTATACCATTGTTATATTGCCATCTTTGAAAGGTAACTGCCGTACCACCAAACCAGGTCGGCACCCGTGTATAACACCTCCAAGATCCCTTATATCGTCCCTGGCCTTTCCTGAGTTTGCATACAGGGTACTCCTGGGAATCGGCCCGGCGCGACATTGGTGGCAGCGGTGGGATCTGTTGCTTTAGAAGATGTCTGAGATGTCACAGAAGTGCGAGCGTTTGCCTGAGATGATGGAGCTAGAGGACTCTAGACGAGATGATGTGAGAACTGGCGGAATTGTGCGATTGATTCCAAAGTTTGGCTTGAAGCATCTTGAGACTCCTCCAAGGTATAGATGTCCAGAAGAGCAGTCTGGTTCGGAGGGAACATCGCTCCCAAGAGATGAGGAGAGAATGCTCCCAAGTGAGGAGGAGAGTCTCGGTGTTCCACTTATGAGAGTAGATGACACTCTACCAGAGGACTTATATGATAGAGCCAGAGCGACTCTAGTCCGAGGAGAGCCTAGAGTTATTTCCCCAGATATGACGATGAAGATACTTCCTGATGTAGAGAAGGAAGATACTGGATACCATGCTGAATCCAGGCTAAGACGAGATGTTCCAGCTCCCGCTTTGAGAAGAGACCATTGGGCTCGAGGGAAGAGAGAATTCGACTCCACCAAGTCCAGGCTGATGTCTTTAGAAGGGAGCTTGGGAACTCTGAGAGTAGATGTCCTTAAGATGCGAGATTGTTTACTTAACAGACAATGTGAAGGGCAATTTGCGATCCATGAAGAGATGAACCACCTACATGAGGAGATAGCACATCTCTCTAATATGCAGAGGAACCTTGGTGAAGAGATGTCCCGTCTCCATGTGGAGGCTAAGAAGAGTAAAGCTGAGCTTGATGGTACATTGAGAGAGTTGACTGGTTCATTGAGACAGATTGCCTTAGATTTGCGAGTGACCAGAGGAGGATTTGATACTCAAAAGGGAGCTAGGAAAACTCCAACAGTCGAGCAAGATGAGCTCCTGGGATTTCAGTACAATGCTGATGGAGTGACTATGGCTCGGGAACCCCAAAGACAAGTTGTGGCTGCTCGAGAAGTAGAAGCTCCCCAGGAGGACTCCAAGGCTCATCCTACAGATGTGAAGAAGAGCGAAGATAGCTCCAATGGTAACCAGGAGCATGCAATGGTCAAGCTCGCAGAAAAAGCGATGGAAATGTGTGGAAAAGCCTTGGACTCAGTACAGCAGGGAAGAAAAACTAAAATCAAGATAACCCAGTTGTTTGATGGGAAGACTCCATGGCTGGACTATAAGGCACACTTCCAGAACTGTGTAGAGAGCAACCAATGGAATGAGGAGGAGAAGAGACAGAACCTGACCAATCAGTTGCGGGGAGATGCTTAACAGCTCGTACAGGAGTTGGAAGAGGGGCACTCTTATGATGATCTGGTTGAGGCACTGACAAAAAGATTTGGGCCTGGAGAGAAAGCTTCCATGTACGAGGCAGAGCTTAATGCTAGAACCAGGAAGCCAAAGGAGACATTACAGAGCTTGGGTCAAAGTATCCGGAGGCTAGCCGCCTTAGCCTATCCGGAGATGCCTCGTTCCTCCCAGGACAGACTTGCTCGAGGGAGCTTTGAGAAGGCTATTACTGATGATGATGTCCGAGCTGCAGTGCATCGCCGAGCCCCAAAGTCTCTTGATGAAGCCATAGAGGAAGCTCAGAAGGAGGAAGCTTACCAAGAGTCGGAACATATCCGAAGGGGACTCAAGCCAAAACAATTAGAGCATCTCATCTCAGTTGTTACCAGCGACCCTGTGGAGGAAAAGCTCCTCAAAAAGATAGATGGCATGAAGACAGAGATGATGAAGGAGATGGATGAGGCGTTAAAGCTCTTCAAAGAGCAAAGAGAACTCCGAGCTCCTCGATGTATTATTTGTAGAAGATGTGGAGAGGAAGGGCACATTGTGAGAAGATGTCCACTAGTAACCTGCTTCAATTGTTCGGAGCGAGGGCACCTCTCCACTGATTGTCCCAAATCCAAGAAGAGTAGAGATGCTCGAGGGGTCCATCCAGTTTGTTGCCTTGATGTCAGAGATCAAGCAGT